TAAGGGGGGGGGGGGGGTCTGTAAAAAAATAAAGTTTTTGACCTGGAGAAATCTTCATCCCCCCTCCCTCGGCATATTTAATAAACTTTCCCTTTCTTTTAATTTTTGACATGCCTTTAATGACAGCTCATCATCATCACGATACTCGCATTCCTAAACAAGAGAGTCAGGATTAAACCCAAAACCTGTGATGGAAGACCTGGCTTAGTCTTGTAAGTACAAACTTGAATGATCAGCTACAAATGATTCATGTTATACCTACTGTGACTTGTCTTAATTGTATATGGTCACTTGTGTTGCCTGCTACTTCTGCTGCTACCCTTCCAGAACAATCCTTTAAATATTGCAGGTATTACAAAGTTTAGACCACTTTCACTAACAGGTCTCGTGATACCTCCCTTAAACGAGCAGATGTGTCAAAATGAACAACAGAAATGAAAAGAGCACCTTGATATTAGTAGGGAGGCGGAGTTTTAACTCATAACAAACGAAAAAGGTGAAATGGCATTAACTRGAATGGAATATTTTATAAGTTTTTGTATGGGAAAATGTGCTGGGTGGCAAAGCTTTGCCAAAGTTCGATAGGAGGACAGTTTTTAGTTTTTAGTTATCAAAATAATCAAAGGAAAGAGCCAGCACTTGTTGAAGTCAGCTTATCTGTCTGCCCTCTTATTGATGATAAAAATAACTAATCATCGCTCAAGAAATTTGTAAGTTATTGTAAAATTTGGGGTTGAGAAAAAAACTCTTCGCATTGGCTYCACAGTGCATTGTGGCAATGTTTTTTGGAACATATTTCCACTTTCTTTGGGCTTCCTCTGATATAAGGAGGGTGCCAGCGTCTGGACAAAGGGATGGCGTGGTCTGAACTTGGCAATGCATAAGAGAACACCACAGGCTAATGTATCAAGTTCTATTAAATCTCTTTTTCATTTCAGGCCTCTCAACTTTCTTGGTGACAGCACCAACAATCGTCTGAGTATTGCTGTAGCATTTGGTGTCATTGCTGGTAACTGTTTTCAGCTCTTTAAYGACATTACTGGTTTTATTCCTTCATCCCTCAGTGTTGTTGAACTTAGTGGACTTGGGCCATGGAATAAAGGTAAATGACGTACAAACAAGTATGGATTTGGCAGTAGTTTAAGAGAGCTTAGAAATGGTTGCGTGCAGTTGTGAATCCAGGATAGTGTGAAGGGAGTGCCTATTTTTAAAAAACCTTCAATTTTTGATACCCTGATACCCTATCTCTACTGGGCTGATCAAAATGAGGGCACGGCTAACYTACAAGCATGTAGAATAAATACTTAAAGCATTGCAATAGCCATTCATGCACTTTAATACCCTTACTGTCTACACGTTTATTGTTTCAGCCTTTCGTTCAGTCGTGTGGGTCCTGTTGTATGGATTGATCAACTTTCCCATCTTTTCCTGTCTGATGACTGACCACCTGTTGGTTGGTGCAG